TAAAAGTAATAACCTATCACAATTAAATAACGATAGTTTAGTAATATACAATATAAATATGTCATATGACCAACTAATTTTCATACAATTTTATTCAAAACTTACTTTTTTGACTCTTTCTCTATGACACTTAGTTTGAAAGGTTATGTTTCAAACCGGTAACTTCTGCTCGTGTGAACTTGTAAAGCGAAAACAATCAGCGATGCCGTCTTAATTGCATGCAAAGCTGCCAACAGAGTAGCGCACAAGAAATCTATCAACGAAACCAGCAGCTAAACACGTACCGTGTGCCGTAGGCTTTACTTTGTATGATTCTGCAAAAATTCCAATGGACCTGTCTGTATTATGGATAAAGAAATCTGTAATTTCATACTTTTTCCAGCTTTGGACACAATATACACCAGGGACAGATATATTAGCTCGGATATTTTAATCGTCGAGAAAGAATGTTTATTCTGTGATACTATTACGAAGAAATTAGACAGGAACGAAAACGTTAAAAACGCTAGTTTTATCGGTAATACAAACGACTCCAGCATCACCTTAAACATTTATGTCGCAGTAATTTTTAAATTATGACAGTTCGAAAAATCAAAATAAATACTTGCCAAATGAGAGAATGTAAAATGATCGAAAAAAAGAATTCAGAAACATACATATTTTTATCGTTTCTCAAAAGGAAAAGCGTTAACATTAAAATAAAAAGGAATTGTAAAAAATTAACTTTTATAATAACAAAAAATAAAACCAAATTTATTATATTATACATATATTGTAAACGAATATAATTAAATCAGGACATATATAACGTTCGATTCAAAATTTTTTATATTTTAGTAGTTTATACACTGATCCCGAAAAATGGACTTTGGTGGCTCGGGATCAGAGACTTGTAGATCGATATTCATAGTCAATTCTTATATTCAAGGCCATCTTAAGTTCAGTCTTGAAGAGTTACGAATCAATCAGAGGGACAGTCTTGAATTATGACAGTCTTGAAATAAGAACCGACTATGAATACCGGCCGTAACATCTTTCAGTTTCTGAACATGGCCGGAGACCACGAAGTAAGAGAGAAGGAGATCGAACTCTGTGAAACGTAAATGGTCCTAGTCCGTGACCCCTAATTGGGAGGGAGTCCGCTGAAAGGAATGAATTCTTATGGTTGGGCGCCATTTGCAACTAACCTTACCCGAACAGTCCGGCCTGATTGAGAGGTTAAGAGTTCCAAAAAATTAAAAAAGGTGAAATATTGAATATTTAATATTAAAATAAATATTACATTATTATATTATATTATTGAATATTTAATCGTTTATAATATTTATATGCTTTAATTCTGCTAATTTCGTGCACAGTAGCTTTTAGTACGTATTAATCTAGCGTAGTGCAAGTGATGGAATTCACTATTAATTCTTATAAATCTTTACCTTTTTTAATTTTTTGGAACTTTTAGTCTTAACCTCTCCGTACAATACAAGCACGCTCTTACTTCGTGAATGCAAGCCAGGCCGGACTGTTCGGGTAAGGTTAATTGCAAATGGCGCTCAACCATAAGAATCCATTCCTTTCAGCGGATTCCCTCCCAATTAGGGGTCACAAATCAGGACCACTTTTTCAGCTTGCGTTCTATTAAGTTCGGTCTCCTTCTCTTTTACTTCGTGCCGGAGACACTACCGCGTCTCCTGAAAACACAAAAATAATGGTTGCGTTCAGCAGACTCAACTGTTGCGGAGCGGATCCTTGAACGCTCACTGCTATTGGATGATCTAAAAGAATATACCAATAGCAGTGAGCGCTCACAGATCCGCTCCGCAACAGTTGAGTCTGCTGAACGTGACCAATGACATAAGAGTACCGTTCCATGGTGCGTATTGCCGTACGCGCATATTCGCGTATCGAAGATATCCGACCAATCACAAACATTCCGTCATTGCACGTACGCGACAATTTTGTCCTTAGGCTGCATACTCATGCAGCGGAATAGCGTAAAGCGGAACAAGAGTAAAACCAATCACAAGCGTTCCGCACTAACTGCAACTGATGCGGAATGCTTGTGATTGGTTTCACTCTCGTTCCGCGTTACGATATTCCGCTGCATGGGTATACAGCCTAAGAGTGCAAACCCATGCAGCGGAATAGCGTAACGCGGAACGAGAGTAGAACCAATCACGAGTTTCTCTAGAAACACGGAATGCTCGTTATTGGTTCTGCTCTCGTTCCGCGTTACGCTATTCCGCTGCATGGGTTTGCACCCTAAGGGCGGGTTCACACCTTGATGGAAAAACGGAAAGCGGAAAAGCAGTAGCCAATCAGGTAGTCAACTTTCTGTTAGTTTTGTACTATTTACTACCAGAGCGAGTTCTAATCGGTTATCTGCTCTTCCGCTTTCCGCTTTTCCGTCAAGGTGTAAACCCGGCCTAAGGCTGGAGTCACATGGAGCAGAAATTACAGCGGAACGGAACAGTGAAACCAATCAGTACTCTACAATCATTCCGCTACTTTACTTTCTGCGATTGTGATTGGTCTCGCTGTTCCGTTCCGCTGTAGATTTTCGCTCAATGTGACTCCAGCCTAAGGGCGGGTTCATACCTCAGACGGAAAAACGGAAAGAGGAAAAGCAGTAGACAATCAGAACTCATGTTGGTAGTAAGTAGTACAAAACTAACAGAAAGTCGACTACCAACGCGAGTTCTGATTGACTACTGCTCTTCCACTTTTCTGTCCAGGTGTGAACCCGACCTAAGGCCTAATTCAATTAATCGCGACAGCATGACGGCATATAATATCACGTTTTCATTGGCTATTAGAAATGGGTGCATTTAGTACGACGACCACTCAGTGAGCTCTTGTACCTGTTTGGTTTATATTTTCAGATATAACAGAATATGCTAATCATTGGGCGCGTTCAAGTTGATAAAGCGACTAGTCTGCTTGCCGAGCAAATGAATATAATTGGTTGTTACTTAAAGATCCAAACAATCATATTTTACCTCTCAGCAAGCATACCTAGCCGCTTTGCCGTCTTAGGGTGCCGTCACATGCAGCGTAACTTGCGTAAACTAGAGTCCTAGATATCAGAGAAGCGCAACCGATGTTCCGCGTCCTGATTAGCTGACTGTCAGCCAATCATGACATTCATTCAGTGGTATTAAAAATGGCTGACTAATAGACGATTAGTGGATTTCATATTTCGTCTGCAAAAGACGCCATTTTTAATACTTTTCTTAGTAATTTTGCGATACTGACTTAAGCCGGTTGCGCTTCTCTGATATCTAGGACTCTAGCGTAAACGTAACCTGTGTAATCTAGTAAATTTTCAGAATACGCATGTTACGTTTAGGGTGCAAACCCATGCAGCGGAATAGCGTAACGCGGAACGAGAGCAGAACCAATAACGAGCATTCCGTGTTTCTAAAGAAACTCGTGATTGGTTCTGCTTTCGTTCCACGTTACGCTATTCCGCTGCATGGGTTTGCACCCTTAGAGTCCTAGATATCAGAGAAGCGCAACCGATGTTCCGCGTCCTGATTAGCTGACTGTCAGTCAATCATGACATTCATTCAGTGGTATTAAAAATGGCTGACTAATAGACGATTGGTGGATTTCATATTTCGTCTGCAAACGACGCCATTATTAATAATGTTTTTAGTAATTTTGCGATACTGACTTAAGCCGATTGCGCTTCTCTGATATCTAGGACTCTAGTTACGTTATGCTATTCTTTGTTCGGAATTCACATAGGACGTATTTTTCGATATGCGTAGATTACGAAAACCAATTATAAGATCGTTTAGAATTTCTGTTAGAATATACAACGGAAACCCTAATCAGCGATTGGTTGTATTAGTTACACATTTTACGCAATTCCGTAAAATACGTCCTATGTGAATCCCGACCAAAGAATAACATAACGTAACATACGTATTCTAAAAAAAATTTACTAGAATACACAGGTTACGCTTACGCAAGTTACGCCGTATGTGACGGCACCCCTTAAGGTACCAGCACACGCGGCTAAGGGTCTGCGCACAATAGGAGAAATATTAGGAACAGATATTAAATGTAAGAATTTTAACCTATCAGAACTGTGTACTGTGGAATGTGCGCTTTCTAACAGGTTAAAATTATTATATTTAATATCTGTTCCTAATATTTTTCCTATTGTGCGTAGACCCTAAAGCACTTATACTGTGGCTAAAGCCCATGGCACATACAAAAACGTAAGGCCGTAAAGGTTGATTTATACTGGCCGTAAACTGTTAACTTATGCCGTAATCTGTAAAAATTGACCAATCACAGTCGAATGAGAGGGGAATAATCGATTATAATTGGTCAATTTTTACAGATTACAGCATAAGTTAACAGATTACGGCCAGTATAATCCAACCTTAAATGTAATCAGTAAGCGTTTTGGCCAATCACAGCAAAGACCGTAAGGCCGGTAGCGAATCCAATGTTACGATTTCCTTACTGATACGTTTTACGGCTTTACGTTTTTCTATGTGTTTCTGGCTTAAGTCTATGCCTTCGGCAAAATGCTGCCGCGCACTACTGCCCTCTGAAAAAGTCGATGTAAACTACACAACAATATCCATCACAGTGTAAGTACATACAGTAGGTTGACTGAAGCTAAAATCCGCGAAATGATTGTCACTCGCGCATGACGGAAATGCACATTCAATAATATGGCGGCTTATAGGGATTCTCGTCTGTTTTCGTCTCGTGTATGGGTAAAAGGCCGTCATGACCTCTCTCAGGTTTCTCTCTGCTCCAGCCTGAGCACTCAGCGAGCAATCATCGTACGTATATGTTCTGTGCATCGTACTAAATGCACCCAATGTATGCGCAAGAGCATACCTAGTTCTTTTTGTAATTCTTTTGTAATTCTGTTAGAGATGGTTGTTTGTTAGATTTGTTTTCTGTGGCTGAACTAGTGTACTTTAGAACTTAAAGTGAGATAGGTTATAGGTATATATTTGATATTTGTCGAAAGCGAAAAAAAGAGTATTAGTTCAGTCTAGTGCAGGAACAGAAAACAGATCAATTGTTTGTTGAACAATTATAAAACTCATACTTTCTGAACACAATCATAATATATTTATGTAGAACAATATAAATATAAGTAATTCGGATTTATTTCGATTGAAAAATAGATAGTATTCTATGTAATCATCATATCAAACAATGTCGACTAGTAATGTGATATGTGAAATATGAAGAATCAGCAGAAAAATCTGTGACAATGAGCAAAGAAGCACGAATTTCTTCGTATGAAATGGCACAATACCGTGAGCGGTTAAGGAGTCAAAAAGAATTTCTGACTGATATACTGTCTAAGATTGAGAAGCAAATACTTTCTTTACAGGTTTGCTAAAATTTAAATATTAAATAATGTGCTCACCAAATGTGATTTAAATGTATTAAAAATATCTCAAATAATTTTGTAGGTTGAACGATTACATTTAAGGAACACTTTACTTGGATCAGAATATTCAGGACAAGAAATACTACCAGATGCATCAATTAAAAACAACTGTGTGAAAAATGAGCCAGTAGTAGATGATTCAAAAAATCTAACAGAAGAATTAGATTTATCTATAGCACCATCCATAAATGATTTTGAAGAAGAAACTGAAGATGATGATCAATTTATTTGATCTAATATATCTTAAATAAATGCTAGAAATTTAATTTGTTATTGTGATTACGCTATATGATATTTAAAAGAAATCAAATTTGTAGAGTTCACAAATTTTTATAAGTTTAGAAAATATTTTGCAATAAAAATGACTGTATAATACATCTGTATAATTTATTTTTATATTACTTACATTTTATATATATTTACAGGACATGGTCTTACAAAATATCGTGTTTGACTTTCTAATTAAAGGATTTAAAGGAACACAGCAATAAGTAAGAAAATAACATAAAATATTATTCAAACTTAAACCTAAGAGACTTCTATGCTGCATATAAATTTAACATTGGCAAAAGGAGATGTTCAAGTAATGTTCTGATGAAAAAGATTATTGAACATCGTTATTTGAATATTTCATTCTAATTTGAAAAAATCTAAAGAATTTGGTTGACATTATGATGGATAGCCTTGCTGCGGTGCACCAAGTTGGGATGGATCTTCAACCAATGCAGGTGGTTTGAATTGTTCAGCAGAGAGACGCGTAAAACAAATTCCTATGCCTTCTATTAGTGCCAAAAGCACTCCACCAATGATTGCACTGCCTACCATCGCTGGTAGTCCGTTTCTTGCTGCTAAAATTCCACCTGTTGCTGCGCCACTAATAATGGAATTATAAGGATCTTCCTTTCCTCCTCTAAAATGGACTAATGTGCAATCAATTGTGGAAAACATTCCACCCCATACAGCAAAATTTCCAGCAATAATAGGTGCTCTTTGTCTAATCGCTACAACACTGCCTGTAAAACGCTGCCTCCATCCACTTGGTGCATTACGAAAACCTTTAATACTTTGAAAGATTGCTCCACCTATGACACCCATTGTAAAGGCACCTCCGCAATCATCAACTATCCGCCAAGGACATGGTTCTCTTGCATATTCTTCCATATCTTATCTGTATCAATCACATAAGAATAACAATTACTTAAGACAATAAAAAAATAGATACTTTATTATAGTAGATTAATATAATTTTCACAGAACAAGAATAATTATCAAAGCATTATTGCAAAGATGTTTTTAATTAATTTTTTATCACATTTTATACTTAATAGTTATTTATGTAATCTATATTATAATCTCAAGATTAATTAAAAAATAATTAAACTTATAAATTTTGGATATTCAAAAATACATATCAAATAATGTGTTACGCAAGGATATACATTTATATATATCTTGCTAAAAAAGACAATTACGAAAGTATTACAAGAATTACGCGATAAGTGAGGTTAGAATAGAGTCTTATAGTTTTGATAGCTATTCACAAGTAACATCTTTGACTATTCTATTACTTATTAAAAGTAAATAATTTTCTTAAGAACAAAATAACTTATTCTTATATTTACCGTATAATTTGTTCGATAAAAATCTTTAACAGCCAAACACGACCGCACACGACACTTCGTCCACTAAGTATGAAAGAACATGAGAGGGTAGATAACTAATGGCGAATTCGACAGACTGCAAAACTGACCTAGTGTAGTGCTGAATTTGTATTCGGACGAACCGAATGAACCGAACGAGTGCAAGAAATATTGCACTGACATTTTTGTCAGTGCAGTTTGGTGTACGGACAAATAAAACTAGTTAGGCAGCAAAAAATTACAAAATGGATAAAGAAAGACTATTATTTATTATAGATAAATTATTAGAAACAAGTAGTAGTAGTGATGATGAAGATATGTTATGTTTAATAAAAGAAGAAAGGCCGGAAGTTAATTAAAAACAAAAAAATTAAATTATTATTATTATTATTAATTAAAAATTAAATTATTAATTGAATTATTAATTAGTGTAGTTTTGTATTCGCTCCGTGTAAGGGCAGCATCCTATAGCGGGGAGCACAGACTTTTGCATAACGCATAAACCATATACATAAAGAATTTGATTGGTCCATTGACTCATGCATAAGAAAATGAGCCAATGAAATTCCTTATGCACATGCTTTATGCGTTATGTAAAAGTGTGTGTTAGAACAAATAGTACTGGAAGGAGCATACATATATGTAATACTACTATATGGCTAGTGCCTATAAGAGGGAGTGAGAGGAAGCGGTCCCAGAACCACGGTGCGGGAATATATATTTCCCTCTCTTTCTAAGAGTACTTTGAGTGTTGTGCGCATGCGTTGGATTGATTGCATCCGCCAATAGGAAAATAGAGTGCGATCAGTGAGATGACGCGAACAGGTTATGCTCGTTATGCTTATTAGATGTGTGCTGTTGTACACAGGCAAAAATGGTCAAGATATGTTATTTATGTGGCAAAAAGCCTAATGCGCCTAATGCGACTGAAAACATTAGTTTGCATAGGTATGAAATAGGTATTAGTTTGCACTGATTATCATGAAATTTCTGTAAGGGATTGCACTGTATTCTTATATACATAACGGCAATCTTGAAAAAGTTTATTTCATAAAATTAGGATTAATTTATTTATTCCGACTAAACTGACTCTGTTAACTGTAACAAGGTTATACCCTGAAGCGGAATCAATCACTTTTTCCTTCTTCCTTACACATATATGTATATTTATCCTTCTATTTATTATTGATGGAGGGGATGATCCGACGCATGCGCACAACGTTCAAAGTACGCTGAGAAAGAGAGAGAAGTATATTCCCGCACCGTGGTTATGGGACATGGACTTCTCTCTCATCTAGCCATATAGTAGTATTACATATATGGGAGCATAGGGATATGGTCCCTGTACATTCGGTTGAAGCCGAGAAGATTGACAAGGATGGAGAGATTAAGATCGTAGATTGTAATGCGCATACTCCATACGCGTGCGCGGCGGATTATCTACCGTGGATGCTAGACTAGAAAGCATGTTAATTATTTGCGAACTATGTTTGGTTCTGTTTGGTTCTGTTTGGTTCTATGAAAATTATGAGTGATTTGTAGCAATGTATTGCTATATTTGCAAAGAAGAAAATCAGGCGTCTTCATATCACTTGTAAGTTTAATTATTTGTGAGTATAGTATTAATATACGGAATTTATAATGTTAGTTTTGAGGTTAGTTTTCGTAATTACTCTTTAATTATTGTAAATAAGTCATAATAAGTATGTCAATACTTCGCATTCGAGTCCATCTTCGAAATGAAGTATTTGTACATACTTTTGACTTAATTATGTGTTATTATTAATTCCAGTATAATTAATTACTTGTATAAATGAAATATGCAACTTTCTAATAAATCAAAATGTTACTCTCTATGATGATGTTCTGATAACTCATCAAAAGAATCGCCGCAATTTTCAGTTTTCTTAATTGAAATTTATTAGCCTTTAACCTTAAATTCATATATCAAATGTCCACTGCAGCTGACAGCTGTGTATAATTCGCTTGCGCGCGCGCATTCCCTCCCTACAGTCATGCGCATTACCAACTACGATCTTAATCTATTCCTCTCTGTCAATCTACTCGCCTTCGGGTCTGCGCACAATAGGAGAAATATTAGGAACAGATATTAAATATAAGAATTTTAACCTATCAGAATTGTGTACTGTGGAATGTGCGCTTTCTGACAGGTTAAAATTCTTATATTTAATATCTGTTCCTAATATTTCTCCTATTGTGCGTAGACCCTTCACTTTCGAGAGACTATGCTCCTTCCAGTACTATATGTTCTAAGGTGTTGGGGCTCTTTCTTTCTACACACCACCGATACAGACAGAAGCTAGACACTAGACAGCTGATAGCAAACTGGCCATTAGGGTCTGAGCACAAGCACTGCCGTAACATTTTACGACAACTTAAGTTGTAGAAAGCAGAAGCTTGGCGTACCGGCGTATGACGTGTTTATGTACATTATTGCCATATCTTTCGATAACGTGCATAAACACGTCATACGCCGATACGCCAAAGCTTGTGCGTTATTTACGTCTACAACTTAAAGCGGGGAGCACAGACTTTTGCATAACGCATAAAGCATGTGCATAAGAAATTTCATTGGTCCATTTTCTTATGCATGAGTCAATGGACCAATCAAATTCTTTATGTATATGGTTTATGCTGGTTTATGCGTTATGCAAAAGTCTGTGCTCTCCGCTTAAGGGTGCGTCCCGATGGAGAAAGAAATAGCAGAACGGAATGAGAACGGAACATTGATAGAAAAGAGATAGGATTGTTCTATCTCTTTTCTATCAATGTTCCGTTAAGTCCATTTCATTGGTCCATTTTCTTATGCATGAGTCAATGGACCAATCAAATTCTTTATGTATATGGTTTATGCGTTATGCAAAAGTCTGTGCTCCCCGCTTAAGCCCGGATCCTCATACGGACAACAGCGCTTTGACACTGGACGCTGATTGGTGAAAAACGGGTTATGGGGGTAAATTTTACCCTCGCCACCGGTTTTTCACCAATCAGCGTTTGGTGTCAAAGCGCTGTTGCCCGTATGAGGATCCGGGCTAAGTATGTCGTAAAATGTTACGGCAGTGCTCAGACCTTAGGCCTATCGCACATGAAATGCATAAAGCCCATGGCATATACAAAAACGTAAGGCCGTAAATGTAACCAGTAAGCGTTTTGGCCAATCACAGTAGAGACCGTAAGGTCGGTAGCGAATCCAATGTTAAGCCCATGGCACATAGAAAAACGTAAGGCCGTAAACGTAATCAGTAAGCGAATTGACCAATCACAGTTGAGAACGTAAACAGCCGCCGCTTACTCGTACGTTCTCAACTATGTTTGGTCAATTCGCTTACTGATTATGTTTACGGCCTTACGTTTTTCTATGTGTCATGGGCTTTACGATTTTCTTACTGATACATCTTACGGCCTTACGTTTTTCTATGTGTTTCTGGCTTAACCATAAACTTATAAGATAGACGGAGCGTTTATACGTGAAAAGTTGAAGACAACATTGAAGGACAGCTCTACTCCAGACATAGTTGTGTTTCTCTTTTTCACAGTGAGCGGTGGAGAACCAATCAGCTCGAGCGTATTGCGTAATGTCACAACTT